GTGATTAGGATTATTAGATCTTAAACAATCTAATTCCCAGCAGGTTGGAATGCAACAAATGACAAATGGTACTCACATTGGAGTCATGAGGACAAACTAAGTGAGTTTAAAACAGGACCATTTCTCACTGCAAAATAAGCCCATAGAAGAGACAAGCTAAAGGTTTAACTAGGAAGAAAACCAAAGCAAATAATTCAGACATATTTTAAAAAGTAAAACTTGCAAGCTTAAAAGTTGCTGACATTTTTAAAAGGTTCCACAGATTACCCTCTTGTTCTTTCTCTCCTAATTATTCATCCTAAAACCCAAACATGCCTAAATAGATTTGCTGAAGTTTGTAGGAACTTCTTTCACCGCAAAAACGATCTATAAATAAGTAAAAATGTCTTAATTTAAGTGTATTAAACCCTAATTTGAGTAGATAAATAAGATTATTTGCCAATGGAATGAGTATTTTTACTCTTAAAATAAGATAATTAGATAGTATGCACTTGAAATAAGACAAAGCAATTGTTTTTTTCTTTTTTTAGATAAGATTAAATTAATTGTTCCATTGGCAAAGTGTATCACCTACCTTCACAATTCAGGAAAAAATGAACCTATTTTAAGAAAAATGTCTTACTTAGATTTCGGTTTAATGCCTGCTGGTTAACCTCACACTGCCCGCGTTTCAGATGGGCCTTTTGATTCCAACAATGCCTCCACTGTCAAAAAGAGTCAATGGACCGTTTTGTTACATGAAACTATCACAAATATAAACACGCACCTTAGGAATGTGTTGGTTGAAATTTGAGATTTGCTATCCTGTTAGGTTGACTGACCTGCTATATTATCACCGACATTCTGTTCACATCTTAATAAAACTCAGAAATCTGAGTGTCACATGTTTTGCTTTGTGTTTGTGCTAAATCTGGTAACCGTCCATCTAAATCACCATGAAGTTCGTGTCTCTCCTAAATATTGACTTGTTGTCAGGACCTGCTTTGAGATGAGTTTGCTGTGTATTCTCCTATAGTACCAGCAGCTAGCTGGCCTCTTGTTGGTATCTGTGCTGAAGGATGGGTCTATTCACTGTATCTTTTGAATCTGTTTCTTTTATGAGATCTTCTACTTTGAGAAAGCTATAAAACTTTATTTATGTCTGTTAGTTTAGACTAGGGAAAACAGATGACGTTGAGGTTTGTCTGCTTTCATTCTTGCAAGAATTTTATAAATAAGATGCCCCTGTTTTCTCTGCCAACCTCCCTTGTAAACTGAATTCACTCACATCCAGTATCTTATTTCTTATTCAAACAATACACAGAAAACTCCAAACACATTAATCTTAATTAATGAATTAAAACTGTAAAGATAAAACTCTATCTTGGGCACTTGTAAATCAAAAACTGTGATTGCAATGTCAGCATATTGCATGCACAGCCTTTCTGGTTCTGCCAACGAACAATCGGACATTTTACTGATTGTGAACAAAGACAACACTAGTCTGTTGACTAGCAGATGCTTGTCAGGCTATGCTGATGTTGGACATGTTTTACTTTGTTACATTAACCATAAGAATTATTAGCTAGAGATTTCACTATTGAAGTATGACAGCAAGTCATTGTTGCATTAGTCATGGAAATGAGTAACAAAACCAATATATAAGGTTGCACCTTTTTGAGGTGCAACCTTAACAGACAGGTTGGGGAAGCAAATGGAACAGAAAAAGTCACAGTTAAACTATTTACATGAGTCTTTGTTGTGAGCAGCCCCTGGGCTTCATTAAAATTTTATATTTTTTTGTTTTTTAGAGCAGCATTTCAAAGCCAGCCACCTTGTATACTGAATGTCATGTAAATGTGAGATGATGAAATGCTTTGTTATGCATAGTACATACAAAATCTGCTGGATTCTAATGAGAACTAGGATTTTCAGTGATATTAAATTAAACCTACCTTAATATTAACTGGGCAAAGCAGAAGTATTTATGATCATGTAAATAGGCTACTTCATTTCACCCTTGATAGCCTGAAGCTGCAGCAACCTTCGGTGACTGGAAACAGTCCATAGCCCATTAATGTGTGGTGGAACTCATGTTGAGAGGATCGGTTGGAACTAGGATTGAGCATTAATGTTGGGGCTGAAACTATTAATCTGATTAATTGATTGTAGAAATAATCAACTCATTTAGTAATTGATTAATCGTTAACTGGAGTATAGAGAGTCTAAAACATGCCTTTACCTGACAGAGTTACCCCATTAGAGCAGTAATTATATCACAATTCAAAGAAATATATATAAACATTTTGCATTTAAGATAAATAAAAAATCATCTGTCAATATGCTCGATCCAGAACTCCCAAAGGGGAAAAGTTTGAGTTTCACCTGGTTTAATTTCAGTCGTCTTTAAACGTTTTGCTATCCAATTATTAATTGATTAATCGAAATAATAATTGACAGATTCATTGATTTGCAAAAATAATCTCTAGTTGCAGCCCTAATTAATGCTAAATTTCTCCCTCCAGCTCTTTAGCTGGCGCTAATGTGCTTAAAGTGGGTTTGCAGCTACTCAGAAGATATAGAATAGAGAGATGAAGCTAGCACTCAGATTCATGCATGCAAGAAAAATTTATCACTGTTTCAAGCAAAGGTTGGAGTAAAGTCCAATGGAGGACAAGCAACCTTTAAGGTCCTGAAAAAACAGAAACCCTGTAGTAAAACCTTTGCATGATTGTGGTTAATGCAAAAGAAAATCACAATACTGGTTAAAAATAATAAGAATTTTAAATTTTGGAAAAATCCTTCAGGCCTAGTTCGAAGAACTCTAAATGAAACAACTTGACTTTTCTGTACTGGTGGTTTTTACTTTTTAGAGTTAGATTTGCTCCTGTTTTCTTGTATCTTCAAATAGTAGTGTGGACATCCAAGGCATTTCCTTTTTTTTTCTGGCCATGCTACCCATGCAACTTCATTATAGTGTATGAACTGTAAAAATTACCGTACAAATGGACAATGTTGCTTTTTTGGCGTGATGTTGTCAAGTTTAAGTGTTAGAACCTGTATGCACAGACAAACATCACACTGTTTGTCCTGTTCCAGGCAGATACCTAAAGGAGACCAACGGGCTGCTGGCACTGAGAGAAAACAAAACAAACTCACCCCAAAGCAGGCGAGGGATTTGGCTCCAGGCCTGTACTGCAGCCAGATCATCTTGCTGAGCAGGCCCTGATAAGTAGAGAACCTTTTGGAAACCCGGTGTCCTTGCATAAAGGTTGCAGATATTTCACAATGGACATTTTGATGGATGATAACCTGATTAAGCTCAAATAAATAAAAAAAAAAAAACATGTGATGCCCAGAAGGCTAAGTTTAAGATGTTGGCCAGAATGTCAGTGATAGTAAGTCACTTATATTGCATTTAGTAAAATAATGCATTAATCACCAGAAATGCATAGCTGCCACATGAATACAATACCTTAACCACTTTCACCGGTCATAACAAAACGAACACAAGGAATTATGCAGTTTTGGTGTCAAGACACATGTACTATTCAGCATGGCAGCGACAGACTTATGCAAATGACATGACAGCAGTTTAGGTTCCCCTTTCATGTTTGGACCAACATGACTTTGATTTTTAAAAAAGTACAAGCTAAGGCTTTTTAATTGATTGGTTTCAGTAAAAAGGAGAAAATCAGCCTTCTGAGCTAGATCAACAGAGCTTTAATTCTTAAATCAGAAAACAGCTGATGCCACCACAGGGGCTGCCATTCATTACCCTATATGGGCCCGCCCCTCCTAGAGTTACAGATAAATGGAAAGAGAAAAAAAATCTACCTCCAGACTGAGACGGTACTACGACCTGTAAGCACACAGCTCCCTGGAATCAGGCGCAATGTCATCATCGAAGTTAATTGAGTACAGAGGACTTCTCCTGCCCCCTCAGGCCCACAATGCAGAGAGCTTGGAGTTTGCCCAAAAGTTTTCAGTGGAAGACTCTGATGTGTTCATTGTGACTTATCCCAAATCAGGTAAAGTAACTTTTATACTTCTCTCCATATTATTATTTTTTCATCTGCTTTAATCAGTGTAGTCAATAATTCACTTTTTATATATTTAAAAAGAAACACATTAAGTAAGTATCTATATCATAATAGCTTTGTTTCTTATGTTTGCAGGTATTTCTATCTGACTATCAGACTGGTCCGTTTTGCTGTTTATTTTTTATAGGTTACTATACTGGTTTATAATTTGGTCTGATCTTATCTTCCTCTTGAGTGGGATCCATTAACATTGAAAAAAAAAAGCAACCTTTTTTGGCATGTACTTAATCATATTTAGTTATTTTAACTCAATTGTTTCATGTTAGCAACGTAGGACATAAAACCATTGTGTTAAAGTAACTAAATATGGTTAAGTAAATGCCAAAAAATGGTTGCATTATTTGTTTTAGTGTACCAGCCTGTCCGCTATTGTTGGGGTGATTTCAAAAAGTGTGAAAAAACAAAATGCCAAGAGCTCACTTCTGCAAGTTTAGCAACTTCCCCAAAAAACAAACTAAGATGCAAACTTAAAGAATAAACCACAAGATAGCTCAGGGAAGTTTGCTGCATTCAAACACTTTTGTAAATGTATGTCGTTACTCACTTTGTTTAAATTTAATCAAAATGGAAATTCACTTGAGTAATTTGTATATAATTAGTTCAGTGACATTTTTAAAGCCATTCGGTGTTTTTGTAAAATTAAGCTGTAAATAGGATCCATTTCTTACAGTCATTTTATTAAGGCTTGTGTGAACAAATATATTTGTATTTTATGAATCATTGTTTATGTAAAAGTGATAAACGAATGTATTTATTTATTTTTTTAGAAACAAAATATACAGGGAAAATATGAAAATGAATACATTGGTAATAGTCTTCTCTTTAATCTGGAACCCTGGGATGTAAATTAAAGCGCTCCATAATGGAGCTCTAAGTTCCCGCGAGAAGTCATGCAAATCTCGGAGCGGCTGTAGAGCGGAGAGGCGCTCTGCGCTCTTCGGGAGTTTGGCAGCCGCGCAGCTCTGAAGCACCATGCCCTCCTCTGAGGACTTCTACCTGGAATATCAGGGACTTCTGCTTCCCAGAGAGACTCACTGCACAGAAAGCTTGAAGTTTGCGCAGGAATTCATTTTTAACGACGATGACGTTGTGGCAGTTACATACCCGAAGTCAGGTCAGTTCCTCACAGATGAATAGTTTTATTCTCCTCGCAGGTGGATCATTTAGTGAAACTAATGAGACCGTCTCAAACATTGTAAACATTGATGCTCTGATGGCATCTAACCGTTCATGATGTAGATCATCAAAAAGTTTACACTGGAAAAAAAGAAAAACCCGAAGCGGACTGTGGTTTAACAAACCCTGCATTGTTCTGCTGCTTGTTTATTTCTGCAATACTCAGTCGCCGCTACTGTGCAGAGATACCATAAACGAACTAAAAAGACTCAATCGAAATTGCGCTACGGTGTCAAATCATTTTAAACGTTTTGTCAGTTACAACAACAAACTTATGGTTAAGAAGGACCTGTGGAACTTCTCCTGGCCCCTGGTATTTGGCCCCTGTACTGAAAGCATGCACTGCAAAAAATGTAAATTATAGTACAAGTGTATTTCCCATTGGTTTGAGCAGTTAGTTACGACAGTTTACCATTAGCCATACTTAAACTGATTTTATTTTGTCATTTTATACACACTGGTGTAAACAAAAATAAATTTAGTGTACAGCCCCCTAGACAATTAAATTTTTTAAAGTACAGCCTTGATAAGTTTAAGCAGCAGTGATAAATGTATGACTTTATAATTACAGTTGTAACATTGTTATTTTTTTTTAAATAAAAGATGATTAAGTTTTAAAATAAGAGAAAGCTATTTTAGCTTATCTAAAGTAGATAATATGCAGGTAACCAATTACTGATTTTTTTTAAAGAGATGTTGACTTTTTCTGCAAATAATACTAAATAAATTTCTCATGACAATATGAGCTGACAGACTGTAACCTAACTCTGTGTTTTTCAACCCTGGTCCTCAGAGCACTCTGCCCTGCATGTCTTGGATATTTCCCAGCTTTTAAATACCTGATGTCAGTTAATTCCAGATTAACAGGGTTTGCTGAACTGCAATAATCTGAATTAGGTGTTAAAGCAAGAAATCATTTTAACCCAGGTTCTCAGGACCTTCTGTCCTTTGTGTTTTAAATGTGTCTCTACTCAAGCACACCTGGTTCAAATGATTACAGTTTATATGCGACAGCCCTCAAATGCGGCAAAAGAATGTTAATTACCTTTTCCTTCAGGTCAGGTGTGTGGAGGGAAGGACACGCCTAAAACATATGTCAGTGGCTCTGTTCGAATTCATGGGCTGCATCCTCCAAGGATGCGGTCTACCTAGACTGGATCCTTCCAAGTCCTTGAAAATAAGGAGACCGGAAGAGTTTTGGCTGGGAATTCAAACAAATCTACCCTTCGGTGGGTTTTACCCCCGTAGGCTATGTTGCTTAGACACACAAAGCAGGAAAAGAATGAATACCAAAGTTTTCAAAACAGTTTATTTCTTTCTTTTTTATCGAGTGGAATAAAGGTGCCAACCACCGGGAGCAGGAACAAATAAAATCAAATGTAATGATAGAAACCTTAGTCAGTTAAATAACCTGCTGCTGTCATTCTGCACATCTCTGATGTTGCTGCTATTTTCAAATATCCATTACTGTAAAAATGTCCATAGCTGGATATTGGTTATTTATTCTCCAGATGCCTAGTATTTATATTGTTAAAACACTTTACAGTATTTTATTGTTTATATGTTAACTCTTCCCTATTATGTTAGTCTTATACATTTTTCTAAGGTCCACATTTCTGCTGCTGTAAATTTGCCCATTGTGGGACAATAAAGAGGTTTTCTATTCTATAAAAGGGGTAGAAATATATAAGTTAATCTAAACAATGTATGTAGAAGTAATATATCTGCAAAATCTCTAATATTCAACAGAAAAAATGTCTTAGTTAGGCATATTGTGCAAAACAGCAATAAAAAAATTTAACTATCAGATTTACAGTCCCCACACTGCAGATATATCAGAATCTGTCCTTAAATTACAGCCAAACTCATTTACACAGTAACAGATTAAAACCTTTAGATAAATCAAACATTACCGCCACATTTTCATTAATTTCAGACGGAACTATTCACTGACTTGTATTATATTAAACTGAACTTCCAATATTCACCGCTGTTTGGCGCCAAGTAACCTTTCCTCTGGTCACGGAGCAGTCGGCTTGCTTGGTCTCGCAATGAATCCTGGGATATCCAAGGATGCCGAGGATACATCGGACCCGTCCTTCAAATCGGGGCAAAAAGAAGGACGCATTTTAAGGTCGCATAACGAGGACTCTTGGAATCCGACCAGACCTCGGCGCCGCACTATGATGTAATCGTCATTCGAATCTGGCCTTTTAAAAACTCATCCCATGATTTCGAACAGGGCCAGTGTCACTTGAGGACAAGGACTAACTGATTTATCCCTTGGACCATTTAATTTACAATTTACTTAATTATTTTTAAATTACGCTTCAGGTGTACTAAGATAAAATCACAGCTCTTATCTATTAGATCAGGATTTTGCAATCTTATTTTTTGACTCACTCTATGAAACGGCATGCGCCTGCCCTATTTTATTGTGTTATTTCTTTTTCAGTGGCCCATGAAAATATACTGGCTGTCTGCCAATACTGTCTTTTTTAACATCAGTCTCACTGATCCCTGATAAGTGCTGTCAACTTTTTTGGAATGCATAATTTTAAAGTAAAATATTTATGAAAATGTGTAAAATGCTGTTATGTGTTCTGTTTTAGTTTATGGAGAAAGCTGCACAGCTAATGCAGCTGTCCCCCTTGCTGTCGGTCGCTAAAGGAGGTGATCTTGTTAATGCTAACTACATTAGAGGTTTAGAGCAGGGGTAACCAATTAAAAATCAACAGGATCCGAATAAAGAAAATCAACAACCAGTAAAGGTCAGACATTTTTAATTATAAACTGTTACTTTAAACAGATTTAACACTGAAATAAAATGAGGATTTCATGCATCCATGTTATATATTGACTTTTTAAATAAAAAGATATACAAAAAAATAGAACATTTTTCTATTTTAAAATGTAAAGTGTTTTTTTAAGTAGAGAACATCAACTGTTCAGTTTGGTATATAGACAATTTCCTGATTCACATATTTTATAAAACATCTGAACTAACCTAACAAGTTATTTTTCTTCTTTTTTTTCTGGCTTAATGAGAGCAGTGGGCTTTAGGCTGCCCTGCAAGGCTTTAAATCTGGGTTTGAATGGAGACAAAGTCATTCTCAAGCACATGTCAAGGTGCTTATTCCTGAGCCAAACATACTCTAAATGTTCAGGGTCATCTTTGAGCATGCCATTTCACTTTTCTGTCACCAGTTCACCGCAGTTCTTCCAGCAGTCCACACTTTCTCTGCTCTTTTTCCCATCATCTTCTCCTTCTTTCCCATCGCCCAGCTTGCCCCTGACACAGCCCATCGGTCTGTTAATCCGTGACCTCTGCTCTAGGCTGTTTCTGCTAGGGAGAAAAATGACATGCTGCAACCTTCCCCTGTTGTTACTGTCCTCAGTGTCCCTTGTTTATTTGTGTTTCTTTCCGTGATCCGACAGAAAGTAGAGCAGGAGTTTGAAGGGGAAGTGATGGTGTAACTTTTTCATAATTAGGTCATCTGAAAAGAACCACATGCACTTGTTTTTCTCCTTCCAAACTCTGAAACAATAATTTAAACCCAAGATAAACAGATACATTCAGAAGTCTCCTAGCTATTGGACTGTGAGTGTATGTATGTACTGTAGGCATTTCACCTTACTCAGCTATACTCTCCTCTTCAATCATGTTAAAATGTCTGCCCATGAGAATGAGGTTTGTTGTATGATTTCAATGACGCCAGTGGCAGTCCTGAGGGGCCAGAGTGGGGCCAGAGTGGGGCCAGTGTTTTTTCATGGCAGCACCGAACAAAAGGGTTGTTTAAAGTGTGAAGTGAACCAAAGTGCCTTTTGCTGCTCTGGAAACCTCAGATAAAGCAAATGAAAACTGTGATCAAATCTCAATATTCCTGAAGCTAAAAATGGTAAAGCTTTATTTTTTACATCATTATCAAAATCAAACTCTAAAAATGGGGGGAAAAATTTTATCATAGATTAATCTAGTATCTTGTCTTAAATTCAGGGGCCAAAACAAGGGTCAGGACCCGTTCTACATGGACTCTGGCCCCTGTTGGCCCCTGTCTAGATTAGGGGTGTGGGAAATAATTGTTTTTGCAATATATCGTGATATTCGGCT